AGTAGGCATAATAAGCTTGATTTCAGAAAATTGCAGTCTGGGTGAGACGGTGAGTCGTTCGTAAGATCTGAGAAATGGAGAAGAATTTTGCAATGTTTTAAAGGCCTTAGAACAGGGCTCCTGGACCGGCCGGATCGACGATTGACAGGCTGTCAAACGGTTACACGCTGGAAAGGTTGTTCAAATCACTGAATTTCTTAGAAAAAAACTTCAATAACCCACGAAGGCGTCTTCTGAACCTGAAGATCGTGATAATACTATAGTGCGTCATTAGTTGGCAAGTTGCCAATTCACCACGATAACCGGTCGATACGGGCTGTCCGAGCCCCTTAAGACAAAAAATACGGCTTTTGGCACGAAAGGCATCTAATTTTGGCACTCTTTACCGAATGAGATCACTCTCTTTATCCAGAAAAATTCATCATATGCTTTTTGTCTTTCTCAGCAACAACAACACGAGTGTACCCGCCAGCGCCCCGTAATTTTGCCCAAAATACCTCCATTCTGTCTATTGTAGCTGTAATAAGAATTCCCACCGGCCTCCCTAATCCGCTGATTCAAGAGTTTTCCCACACTATACTGATATTTGTTATTCTTTGCACTTTGAATTCGGGGACGGGGTGAGGAAGACCCTTAGGAGGTTTCAATTTCAGAAATATGTCGCTGCAAAACAGACCCCTGGGGCTTTGACGTGGAGTCAAAATTCGCTGACCCAGGCCACCAACAACCAAAAAAGAAGTGTAAAAACACCAAGGTAGCGAGGCCTAAAAACAAGAGACTATTCTTTACTTTGTTGGGATTGTTTTCGACAAGAGATTTGTAGGGAGCGAGAGAGAGAGAGAGAGAGAGAGAGAGAGAGAGAGGACTAATCGTTGGTTGGCGACCTGTTCGTGGGATTCCAGGATCGAAATCCCTACTTTGCCCACACTCTGGGAAGCCTGGATGGAGCTACGGTAACCGACGAAAGAGGGGAGGAGCTATTTTTCACCGCACGTAGCTCCTGGAGCACGGAGGGAGAAGGGGAATATGTAATGGAGCGGGGGTCGGCAGACAAAAGATTCGGGGAGATCTTGACTTCCGCATTCGGTTAGCACGAGACTTTGATCATTAAAAATTCAAGGGTGCTCTTTGCATTCAGTGCAAAAATTTTTCTGCAAAAAAGTGAATGAGGAAAGCAAAAATTAGGGAGAGATCGAGAAAACGGCTACGGGCAAGCTTGCAGCGATTCTTTAGGAATTATGGACGACGATGACTGACTGTATTCAATATTTAATTTTCAGGAATTTTTGCGAGCGGAGTTTGAGAATCATCAGATTCAGAGGGTGCTCAGACATTACGGAGTGCTGATTTTATTCTTAATTTTTAATTGTTTATGATTTCTCAAACTACCGTAAGCCACAACTGTACCCGCCACTCGATGCGCAAACCTTGCCAATCCCTTTAACTCCCCTCCGCCTGACCTCAGAGCAATACACAACGCAAATTTATGCGAACTTTGCTCGCTCGGTCCTTTCTGCTGCACGCACGGATGAGCAGAACCAATTTTCCAAACCAAAAGACGGAAGCTTCCGCTTTGCCCTACCCTCACTCCCCTCCCCTTCTATTCCCAGGTCAATCGGGTTTGTGAGGGCCCCCTAGGCCACCAAAAGGAACCAGGAACTGGAAAGAACGGGTTGCAAACCGGGGCCATGCCGGGAATAGCTGCTCGCCGTCCGCGTGAGGTCTAATTGCGGCTATTCAGGGGTCTAGAAGGGGCCAACGGCCAACACGACAATGAGTTTCTCTCTGTTGCCCCTGGGGGATCACACGTACACTGCATCGACGGGGGTAAAAAATGGCCGCGGGGGAGTCGAATTAACGAATTCGGACTGGCATTTAAGGCAAAACAACAGGGTGCGGAGAGAGAGAGAGAGTGTCGCAAAAGCGAGGGACTCGAAGATCGAAATCGCTTTTTCATAGTTTTTGAAGTATTTGAAGATTTGGGAAGGCAAACAGCCTTGCAAAATACGCCCTGGAAAGATCCAGCTGAAGATATCGACAGCCACGTCTGACTCCAAAACATACCTGTGTGAATCTCTGAATTTTCTCATAATCGACGAAGAGTGGACAGTAAATATAAAATTTCAGCGACGATAAAATAATTTTTATGTTTCTTTGGCGCAAATCGTAGTCCCTGCAAGAGGGCGATTTCTGGACCTGTCAATTCTTCCAGAACATGATTTTTATTTTAATACCCTCAGTTTGCGCTCTAGCGATCAAAAATGTCGTCACTCAAAAAAGCCACAAAAATTCCAGTGTTTCGGATTCAACGGACAATCCATTAACGTCAATGGATACCGTACCGCCTAAATTGCACCTGACTACGTTGAATTCGAAATTACCCCTAGCGCAGGTGCAACGGTTTCAATCCTGCGGTTCCAAGCAACACTTCTCTTTGCAGAACCCATCAACCATGGGTGACCTCGGAATTGGTTGATTCTCATGAACAAAACAATAGGTGACGATTTACACGTCTTCATGCAGTTCACCTGTACCGCTATGGACTCTGCCGATCATCCCCCATCCCATCGAAAATCCCTAGAGGTCATTGTGCCAAATTGTGCTGATGTTTTCCAGCTGATGTGCCCGATCGGCCTGCTCACAGTTTAATTAAATCTGGCGAACGGACCAACTGGCCGCCAAAAATGCATAACAATTCCGCAGAAAGCGTCCCGTTTTGGAAGGGATCGGCAACTGGCCAAATGGAAATCTCAGATGTTTCAGTAACTGTTATAATGGTGGTAAAATATATAAAACAAAAACTAAACCAGTAATCAGTATTGAACACCTAAAATATCGTAAAATTTAAAATCTGAAAAACTCCAAAAGCAAAAACAAAGTCCGATCCATATTGTCAAGTCTCTATGTACCGTGCTTAACAAGTGTCTTGCGTAGGCACTTTAATGCTTGGGTATTTATTGAAAATGGAACATTATGATACAGAAATATGTTGCTCCACTTTATGTGGTGTTGCTCACTTGCGGCCAAGAAGACCACCACCTCCAAGGATACCGCCAAGAAGACCACCACCACTTCCGCCAGATCCAGATCCAGAAGATCCTCCTCCCAATACACCACCGATAATTCCATCCAGAAGGCCAGCATTATCAGCCAACTGCAGGTTAGAGAGAAGAGCACCATCTTGACCGGCAAGGATGGCCTGAAATGGAAAATAATAAAATGATATTCATTAATGGAAAAATACCTTGAGGAGATTGGAACCGAGAAGCTGCTCAAGGAGACTGTCGATCACTCCGGGAGCTCCAGATGGACCGCCAATCAGACCATCAAGAAGAGGATTCCCATTGGCACCAAGGAGATGACCAAGAAGACCACCGTTACCCTCCAACCAGCTGGGAAGACTAAAAGAAACAAGGTATCTAGTTCTGAACAGCTCCAAATTACGTCGGCAACAGGTTGAAGATGTCGCAAACCAGATTGCTGACAGTGTCAAGAAGTCCGGATGGAACTTCGGACATTACTGGCGAGATGACGTGGAGAATGTTGAGGCACAAGTTGGTGAACAGGAAGTTTTGGCCCGAGACGATACCTGGGAAACATTATTATAATACTAGGAATGTATAGCATACCTGAGAGCAGATATTGAACATCAGATTCGAGGACAAGTCCACATGGACTGTTGGGGACGATGAGGAGGGATGGGATATTGACGGTACCCTTCAGAATATCAAGATGTTCGAGGGTGTATGCAGAGACTGTCTCGTTGCCAACTTGCATTTGGGTTTTGTTCAAGATGCGCACTTCCGAGACTGGAAATGAGGGCGATCTTCATGTTATAACTTAAACTTACTCCAATCCAAGGCACAAGCCAGCGCCTTGACATCAGGAACGGGAGAAGGACAGGTACAGTCCGAAAGTTGAGATGAAGCTCCTCCACCAGTTTCTCCAGATGATCCACCAGATAGAGCATCTTGCTGACCAAAAGCTGCAGAAGAGAAGAGCAGCGCCACAGCCACCATCAAGCGTTGGGAAACCATCTTTTTTCTGGAAGAATTGGATAACTGTATTTTGATACTGTAGAAAGTAGTAGAAGGGAAAGGCTGATGCTCTATCGTCCAAATCCGATGCCTTTTATACCAGATTCACTGACCAATATAACCCCGAAGTGACCGATGTTTGTCATAGCTTTAATTGTGTCGAATCGAACAGTTCCGATCAAAATTTGGATGTTTTCCCCGACCTGTAAAGACCATAGAAATTGACAAATGATATTGGGGGTTATGGTGGGCCAATACACTCATTTGATAATGAAAGTGTCGGAAGAGATCTAACATGCCGCAACTGATTTTTGTAGTAAATTTGGCATTGCGCTTTATCTTTATTATACCGATGCTCCGCTGTTCTACCAACCGAGCTGGTTACGGCGATCTGCTTAAGACTTTAGAGCGACCAGAAAATGTTCAACAAACTATTTACATCATTCCCTCTACAAAATATTTTGATCCGCAACCTTAAAAAGCAACAAAAAATCAGTTGCCAACAAACTTGAGTTATAAAAAGAGTAATATTGACTCCAAATGAACACACGTCCCCTATTGTCGCCTCGAATTGACGTTCAGACAACGCGAAAACATCCAAATTTTGATCGGAACGGTTCGATTCGACACAATTAAAGCTATGACAAACATCGCTCACTTCGGGGTTATATTGGTCAGTGAATCTGGTATAAAAGGCATCGGATTTGGACGATAGAGCATCAGCCTTTCCCTTCTACTACTTTCTACAGTATCAAAATACAGTTATCCAATTCTTCCAGAAAAAAGATGGTTTCCCAACGCTTGATGGTGGCTGTGGCGCTGCTCTTCTCTTCTGCAGCTTTTGGTCAGCAAGATGCTCTATCTGGTGGATCATCTGGAGAAACTGGTGGAGGAGCTTCATCTCAACTTTCGGACTGTACCTGTCCTTCTCCCGTTCCTGATGTCAAGGCGCTGGCTTGTGCCTTGGATTGGAGTAAGTTTAAGTTATAACATGAAGATCGCCCTCATTTCCAGTCTCGGAAGTGCGCATCTTGAACAAAACCCAAATGCAAGTTGGCAACGAGACAGTCTCTGCATACACCCTCGAACATCTTGATATTCTGAAGGGTACCGTCAATATCCCATCCCTCCTCATCGTCCCCAACAGTCCATGTGGACTTGTCCTCGAATCTGATGTTCAATATCTGCTCTCAGGTATGCTATACATTCCTAGTATTATAATAATGTTTCCCAGGTATCGTCTCGGGCCAAAACTTCCTGTTCACCAACTTGTGCCTCAACATTCTCCACGTCATCTCGCCAGTAATGTCCGAAGTTCCATCCGGACTTCTTGACACTGTCAGCAATCTGGTTTGCGACATCTTCAACCTGTTGCCGACGTAATTTGGAGCTGTTCAGAACTAGATACCTTGTTTCTTTAGTCTTCCCAGCTGGTTGGAGGGTAACTGTGGTCTTCTTGGTCATCTCCTTGGTGCCAATGGGAATCCTCTTCTTGATGGTCTGATTGGCGGTCCATCTGGAGCTCCCTGAGTGATCGACAGTCTCCTTGAGCAGCTTCCTTCGGTTCCAATCTCCTCAAGGTATTTTTTCCATTAATGAATATC